TTACCCCCGCCTCCCCCCCTAAATTGATACTATCAATAATACGCTGGTTTCTGGCCCTGGACTGCCTCTCTGCTAAAAGCAAGACTAAACTCAAGCTCTGCTACGCGAGCTTTCGTGATTCGGGGCTCTCGGTCATGTGGAGGAGAACGTGCATGCGATGCCTAGAGTAGTGTTCAGAGTACCGTTATGGCCTCCCGCCCTGCGCTGATGCCGCATCCACCTGGCAAATTGTGGCAGAGGTGCACCCGGAGCTTCTTTATGCTACTATGCTACTGCTCCTAACAGCCATTGTGCACGATCTGCGAAGATCTTTGGAGGGCCGTTTGCATCGCACAACGTTTGCTGTTGCCTTGCAATTCAGATCAACTCAGTCTTGTCTGCCACCAAGCGAGCAAGCAGAGCTGCTCCACGCACGAGGCGTGAACACCGCTCATGGACCTGGCAGCGCCATCCGGGCGGCACTCGAAAGCGAGACAGGTCCATGCGCCCGCGAGCTTGCTTTTTCCTCATGCCCAGCACGGCCTGCTGGAGACTCTGCGGGGCTTCAAAAGCCCCTGGAAGTGAACGACTTTGTCACTTCGAGAGCGTTTTCTGGGTTACGTCTTTGCAGCCTCTGCTCCTTGCGGCAGTCCACTCGTGACTCTTAAGGGTCTGAACCCGCAGGCTCCTCAAATAGGGTCATTCGGTGTCACAACTGAGAACACATCTTGTGTGGAACCTCGCGATGAAGTCATGAACTTGCTAGCCATACTTTCTTTACATATTTTGCAGGGTTTCTCGGTGAACCTCTTAGATCTACTACACTCAGTGTTGTCTCATGACTCACTGTTGTCGGCTACGAAATACGGCCTCAGCATACATGCCCACGCCTCTGCATGAACTCCTGTTGCAAAGCCAACTCTTGAGGCTCTCAGCTTGCAAATCACGGTTTCTTCTCATGGCTCCGTATCCATTCTGCAGCCTGGCCCGCCTTGTGATAATCGTGTTTGGTTCAATCTGACCGTGGCGCAAACGCCTTCTTCTGGATCTAACCTGGTAGTACAGGAATACGGCACTGCCCCTTGGCCTGCTTGTACAGCCTGCATACAGCCTCGGCTGGAATTTGTCGGAATATGTTTTTCAAGAAGCTGGAGTTTCGCTGTCTGCGGCGCAGGCGGGTGTTTTGGCTGCCAAGCACTGATGCGAACAGAATCGGCTCCGACACTTTCTGAGCCTTGCTTGGTGGTGGTAAGACTCTAGCACAGACTTTGCCTGGATTTTGCGCGTGGTTGAACAACTTCCGTTCTGACTGACTGCGCAGTCCTTGTTTCTGCCTTCTCGACGTACAAGTTACGGAAATGAACCACCGAAACGGTTAAACAGCACCGCTATGCTGAGTGTCGAAGCGTGGGCCTGAATGCCAAACCGGTAATATGATGTGCACCGCACCGCAAGGATTGAACCGTCAAGGTACTGTAGGATCGATGGCGGAACAACGCTCCAGTTCTTGATGCTTTCCAGGATAAACGGTTGTGATTTCTCGCAACGGCAGGCTGCACTGACGTTATCTTTAAAAAAAGCATTCTGCTGAAGCTCATGGAGACTCGTGGACACTGTGGGCCTGTTGAATTTGTCCATGCTGCCGGCATTGTGACTACTGTTGCTCTCTCGCGTATGCGTCGATTGCCTGACGTAGCTTCCGCACAAGTACCCTGACTGCCAAAGATGGCTTATCGACAACAGCCCTCACCTTGCCCATGGTCTCCCCAGAGCATTCATGGGTGGCTGCAGCTCAGTACTCACCATTGAAGTTGGAGTCCTTGACCTGAGCTGCAGACGGCAAAGAACTTGCTTCCTGCGGCAGCACTTCAGGCAGGCCACCGTCCCACCACGCGTGGAGCCAGGTGCAAACCATTCAAAGAGGTCCTGCACGTCCTCAGCGAACTGAGAGACCCGCCACAGAACCCTTCAGCCTGTGCCTGCTGCGACTTGGTGACATGCTCCAATTCGGAAGAAGAAACTCTTGAGCAGGGAATGATCGCGCCAAGTCTCGTCCAGGTTCATGGACATAGGCGTATAATCAACAGGAGGCTGTGCAGGGCAAGCGTTGTCAATGATGCAGAACTTCCTCACAGCTCAGACGACTCATTGAAAATCATGAGACCGGCAATGTGGACGCACTACCGCAATGTTGATGCACATTCTCCAGAGACAAAGGCCGAACGTATCAGGCCACAAATCTTGTTGCAGCCAAGCAGCGACCAGTCAAATCCTGGGAAGCGAGAGATTGCATGACATGGCTTTGGTTTGCGTTTCCCGAGAGTTCATAGCAGGCATTTGGTTTGGTGTGTAGATCATTGAGTCTAGCAAAGGTGTTGCAACGGGCTGCCAGTACAGCAGATGACAGCATCTGGGACCCCAGAAATGTCGGTAAATGCATGATAATGCATGGGACCAGAGATACCGAGCTCGCAAGGCAAGCAGTGAATCCAAGGATCCGTTCTTTTCTGCTGCCGCCCTCACTTTGGCTTCTGCTGCTGCAGAAAGCACGGGCGTTCGCGCATAGACGAAGCCGCCTGTGCAAAAAAGCAGGAACATGCGAAAACACACCCAACACAACTGGGCTTCACTGTGGCTTTCACAAGTTGAGCAATTGCTCGTCACAAGCAGTCCTGATTTGGCTGGATGTTTGATGCAGGTGTCTCAGCATAATGTGAGACGGAATGGCGCGAACATCCCGAACATTCCCCACGATACTTGTATCAGGATGGCCTCGGTAAGCATCCTGCCATGCGAGCATGCCAGAGCCAGCAAAGGCAAACACACAAGCACATGTGCTTGTTTCACATGAATGCTCAAACACGTTGAACCTTGCGCTTCTGCTCCACACTTGCAAAGCGCTGAAGCCAGCAGAAAGCAGTCTCAAACCGAAACAAATGGAATCGCATGCCAGTCCTGCAGATTATTGCCCACATATGCCGTCAGCACGAAGTCTTCGTCAGCAGCCAAAACGTACCACTCCTCTTGGAAGGAGAGGCCGAAGATTTCGCCTTTGGCAAACCTGTGCATCTTGGCTTTCGCATGCTTACACAGTCTGACAGCAGAACCAGACCGGGGCAGCGAAGGCAAAGCGGAGATCCACCGAGGCACAAGGTACTGCGGTCGCTCGGAGCTTGGATTTGCATCTTTTCAGTCAGTGTGTTCTCCCAGTATCCTCCAGATCGCAGCCTCCTCAGTGGAACACAAGTCTGGCTCCACCTTCGGACCTCAGAAAGGTATGAAGAACCACAGTGCAGAAGAGGGTCGCAAGTCGAAGCGAGACTTCGGTTTCCATGGTATTCTCTGCCGCGTTGTACTTGAAAACGTTGGTCTGGCATGGGTAGCAGTCGTACTTCTTGTTGTAACCACGGACTTTGTACCTTGGATTTGCACGAAATCTCTACAATGACTATAACGGAGATGATCGAGAGAGCACTCTGGCTGAATCTCTCCATGGCACCATTTGCCTTCTAGCTTGCGGACATCGAAGTCTTTGAGCTTCGTTGGGATTTGCTCGGCATAGAACTTCCGAACATCCTTATTCTGATGCTGTTGCATGATGCTGCATGGACAGAACCTTCCTCAGTGATGAGGAGCCCCTACCAAGTGTGCAACAGAAGCGAATCCAATTGCAGCGCCAGGCTGAAAACCGTGAACTGAAGATCCACATTGGGATGGAGGTCTGCTGTTGGATCGACTTCAGCATCCGAGGCACGTAAGTCCCAGCGGGAACGCTGACACACTGTTCCTTCTCAACTGTGCAGTTCAGCCAGGCATCAAGCCTCCAGAACGGCTCGGGTGACTGGAGGCAATACAAGCAAGTTTCAAAATGGTCCCGCCTGGGACAGCCAAATTCTGCAAAGCACTGCGTGGCGCATTCCTTCAAAAAGCACGCTCCGTGAGTGCTGCACCATACCCGACCGCGTAAGTTGCGGAGTGCTGTGTATACTACTGCTCCGCGCCAGACCTAAGGGACCCGAGCGTTACTGTAGCAAAACCGTTCCATGAGTCGTCAAGCATCTGGGTCTCCGCGACATCTCGCAAGACACGTGGCGCCTTTCCTCCGAGTCATCGTGAGTCAGCAGGGACTTCAAAAATCTATAAAGCAAAAATCTGTAAAGATCTGGAACAGCTGATTAGCACAGGGTTGTTGCACTCTGATTCTCGTTGAGCTTGTTTTCCAAATTCCGCACGCCTGCTGTCCAAATGGTGCAATCAAGTCACAAACATCGCCCGTCTTCAACAAAGCACGCCTGCTGAGTACTGTACCACGAAGTGCTGAGGTTGGATTGCAAGTCTCTTCCTTCTGTCAAAGCACGACTACTATGAGATGATTAGTGTGTCACTGTGCGGCCTTTGTTTGCTTCCCACACTGGTTGAAGAAGCAGCCGACGTCCTGATGGAAGCGATGCTTTCTCGGATCGGCAACCCAAGCCAGACAGCATCGCGCAGTTGTCTTCATGTGCACAACGGTTCACCACTGCCTACTCAGCCAAGTGTAGCTAAACATGCGCACATTCAGCTCAGGCACGGCATCCATCTTGCCTCCCTTGCGGGCGAACTCTGCAAAGCCTCTTCGCGATACACAGCCGCGACCCTAGAGGGGCCCGAAGGTTTACTAGACGAGACGCGCCTGTCGGAGAGCCGTCCTCTGCCATGGCAGATGCGGCTGCAGCCACGGCCAAGAGAAGACCAAGCACCACGCCTCTTCGGCTCGCATTTGCATGCAAACTCCGGTTTTAGAAACCCATCAAAGGCGCAAGCCTGCCATTGACCGGACGGTGGAGACATAGCTCATCTCCGGAGCCTACAAACCCATGGAGAGAAATCTCAGACCTTACGAACCGAGGAAGCCAAGGGACCTCTTCCAGGCTTGGAGCCTTGGATTCTGCATAATGAAACTTGGACGTCGCATCCGAGGCCCCTGGAGCCTCAGCCTCAGCTTCGTGTGCTCTGTGCTTCGTCGCGACTCACAGAGATTTACCGTGAAACTGGCTACAGATCCTGCACAGGGAGCTTTGACCAGAAGACACTGGAAGACACTGTCACTATCTTGTACCCAAGACACTCGCGGAACGACAAAGACCTTCTGCGGCCAAAGAAGGGCCAGCACAGGCCATACCTCGAACGAACATAGAGAAACTTGCAGCTCTGCAATTCACACATTCAAAACGGAAGTCCCCGGCAGCGGCTTGCAATGCCGCAGTGGAGCAATTCTGCATCACCCCTTATAACAGTACTGTGGCAGGAAAGTCACGGCCAAGGCTACAAGCCGTCGGCGCCTCATCACCTGCGACACTCACACCGTTAGGAAAGGAAAAAGGAAGGCAAAGGAGCAATCGATGCTGGGCAAAAAACCTCGCGAATCTACCGCTGATACCAGTGCAGAACATACTGGTGACCATGTTCTAAGGCCGGGCACATGAAGGTAGTGCTCGGCCAGCACCACACACCAAAACTTCGGTCCAAAATGGTTTCGGGATTGCTTGCAACATGATGGAAGCATCCGGGCTGACGTCGGGCCGCTGCCATGTCCAATGTGAAAATCACTGGGACTGCATCACAGTTCTGCAGAAAAGGCTGGGCTTTCAGAAGGCCAGGCGCACCCGCGGCAAGCACAAGGGTAGATCAGCGGTTCGGGGCCGGAATCTCGACAGATCCAGCACTCTCGAGCCTGTTGGGCACAGACACTCTCAAGAGCAAAACGGCTCGTGTGAGAGCATACCAAATCTGCAAGGAGCTTGAGGAGCCATCAAAGACCTCAGAACCTTGAGCCCCGTTGCGCACTGGCCTGCGATTCTGTCTGGCCTCGGTTCTGCCAGCAGCAAGGGAACCACTCTCTGACAATCGTTCTATCCGGGACTCATCAAAGCACTGAGTGAATTAATCGCTCTGCTTTCTATGCAAGAACACAACAATTTCCTTTTGAGCGACTTTGAGAACCCTGACAAACTGTGAGAAACCAGCGGGCATTCCGGGAGAGCCCTTCTTACGCGCAGTTCACCTCAAGCTTCTCACAAACATCGGACTGCAGCGGGCTTGTGGGGTGTCGCTCGTTGGGCCAAGCCGCAAAGAATAGGCATGTTGAGACGACCCAATGTTTCCAAGGCCATAAGCCCATGAGACTAACATGGACTAATCACGATCAAGGCAGCACATACCAAGCCTGAGCCTGAGCTTCTGGCTGGAAGCTTGTCGAGCGGAGGGCAAACTGCAGTCAGAGCTCATGAGCCGGCAGTGCTCCATCAGATTACCATACAAGAGGACCCGTTTAGGAAAAACGTTGGAACTATCAAGGGGACACTGAAGCGAACCCTTCCACGGAAGCACATGCTGCAGGAGTACTGGGCACCTCTGCTGAGGGCTGCGAAACTCCGGAAAGAGCTGCGTAAAGTCGGGGTCTGAGAGGTTGTGGGCCTTGACCAGACAATGGCTTATGTTGCTTGGTGCAGTCAACGGGCCATGCATGGTCGCATAAGAGCGATGAGAAGACGTGTCCCGTATCGCTGCCAAGCGAGGGACCCAGGACTCTTCTGCAAACGCTCGCCGCGTTTCCCAGGAAGCCCTGATCGATCCGTAGCCTGGGAGCGGTCACACACTCGGCGGGTATCGAAACCGCAGCCAGCATGGCATCCAATCACTCATGCACACAGCATGGACATATTACAGCCTGACAGCAAGCACACCTCAGAGACAGTACCCCCCAAAGCATTGCGAACGTTCCTGCTGTGGTCTGAGGTTGCAGCCCGATTCTGCATCAGAGAGAAAGTAGGACAACAAGCCCGTCAGGATCGTGTCAACCGACCAGGCCGGATTCCAGCTCTGACACGGGTGCTTGGGCAAAGAGAGGCTTTTCTAGGCTTGGATCGGCTATAGACTGACAGCTCAGCAATACTCTAGAAGGGAAGCACTGGGCAGAAGAGTTTACTTTAAATGTCACTGCATCTGCTGTAACTCCCTTCTCGCATGCGGCCAAGACTATGAAAGGAATGCAGAAGAGCCTCTGGGTGAAAGTCAGTCATGCTCAGACCTGGAACGAAAAGCTTCGTTAACAGAAATGGATCTCGATTACGACAGGCATGGCTACTATCGAAGCCTGAAGTGTGCCGCAGTCTGAGCTCGAAGCACAAGCGGCAACCCGTCTCCAGCCGCCCACTTGGGGTCACCATGACCTCAGCCGAGTTAGATCAGCTTCTGCTTTGAGAATGCTAAACTGACCCATCTTATGATCCTTGAGATCTTGCATTCTAGACTATGGGAACTGCAGAATCCGAGGACCTGTAACAACACTCTAGAGCGGCTGAGACAGAACCCCTGTAGAACCCTTCTAAAGCCCCCTAAACTTCGCTAAACCTTTAGACGAATCCAAAACTGCAAACCTCAACCCCTAAACCCCTAAGTCCTATACGCTTAACCTTAAACCCTGACCCCAAACCCCTTCAAGACTCTTACCCTCAGGAACCCTTAAAGGAACACTGTTAGGAACCCGAAACCCTAAACTACTTGCACCAAGCTGCCACTGTCGGTGGGGCATGCGGGTAACCATTGGGAAATAGAAGCCTCCACAAAGCGCACAAATCAATAAGCTACGACGTGGGGATGGATGGCGGCGTAGCCTAATTACTCAACTCCTGCAGCACTTCTCTGATTCAAAAGCGCAGCTCAAGTGATACAATTCGAGACACTTACCGATCAAGAAGACCCAATTGTTGCACAGAGGCTGCACGAAGCCTGCCATGGTAGCATCCGCCGCTGTAAGGACTGGTCGCAGGTCCAGTATCAGCAAAGACATGGTGCACTGCATATGCTGGAAGGCATCTGCACCCACGAGAGCAAAACACGCTGACAGCTCGTGCTAGATGTTTTGAGCTTCTGTCTCTGTACCTGGCTCGCACCTGCTGTCAACATGCCAGCCCGCCCACCTATCGGCAGGCAGGGAATGCAGGACGAAATGCCACCTGCGGCCAATCAATGCTTTCCCTCTCCCTGCCGATTGCCCGAGCAAACGGGCTTTGCTTCTCACTGCCAACTTTGGAATCCATGCAGTGCAGGAACAGGCCCTCCGACTGCAGCGTCATGCAATAAGATGAAGCAGACAGACACAGAATCAGAAAGCCTATTATGACCTGCTGGCGTGTTGATTTCCTCAGGCCATTACTCCAGCAAAGACGCGCTTGAAGGCTTCACAGCCACCTGGCATTCGCTAGTTTGGTTTTTGCATGCCAGGTCGACTTGCATCCTGCGACTGTGAGGCAATATTCGCTCAACTCCTCTTGGATCTCTCTCGAAAAGCTGCTGGGATTCGGAGTTTAGGGCTGCCTTCCTTTTGCTAAGATGACTGTCATGAGAGCCAGGAGCCTGTGCTGTCAGCATGACACCATATCACGGTTTGCATTATGAGCGATTCCATCTACGTAAGCCTAAGCTGAAACTAGAAACGAAACATAGCCAGTCCGTCCCCCTTAAAAGTCACCTGGTCCTCTGTACAGCACAAGACGGAGGACACTCACAGCAGGATTGTC